TGATATTCTAAGTAAAACAGGATAGATTTCAGTGCATCACCCTATTGCCAGCCTGGTAATTGAAGGGGCGCTTAGTATATACTATGGGCAGGTGTCTAATTCTATCCCACTAAGCAAAGGAGAGATGAAGTTTCCATGTCTGTCTGAATGATGTTAGAACCATTCTTGAAGTTGATGTTAATGGCCAGCGAATTGATGATCTTGTAATCCTTTTGCAGCTATTTAAAGCATGGTATTAACATAGCCAGGATAGCCTTAACTTATCTAGCAGCTAACGTTGCTTAAGGTATTCAATCTTCGTAAAGAGAACCTTTCTATAGACGGTGACACGAGTATATTTAAATACGAAAACCGGCTACCAGCATCAGTGCAATCGTTTGAAAGAGCTCTAGAACTACTGAATCGGCCACTCCGACATTAGCATAGTTCCGGTTCAAACATCATATATGTTTGACGGATCTCTTTAGTGTTTGAAAACGTTTATTATTTACCCTCGCAGAGTACAATCATCTATGATAATTGTGTAGTTGGGTCTTTCGGACGCTTAGCCTTCTTGTTTGATAATAGTTCCAATCTACGGTTTTTGGCTTAAGGTTTCGTGCTTCCTGGAATTGCTAGGCCCGTAGAAACCAGTAATTTGAGATAGACAACTTACGCTCACGAGCCACCAATGTCCCGTTAGAGAGTTTTTGCAAATTTTGAGTAATTTTTTTAAGAAATATCTGAGAATTCTTAGTGTTATATAGACATCTAAAGCAAGTAGGAGCCTTCAATTGTGCTTGTAATGTAGATTCGTAAGTTATAGTTACAAGTACTCAACGGCCTTCCCGTACTGAGTGGAGCAATTTGTTATATGAGACCTCTATACGGAAACACTGAGATACTTGTCAGCTAAGATACTGTCCGACCACTAAATATTGTGGACGTTATTGAAGCAACGAATTAAAAACGTCTCCCAAATCAAACAAAATAACTGCTTATTGGATCTTACTTGTAACCCTAGGAGAAACCGAGTCCACTTAGACGTTTTTCTTTCTGGCAACTCTTCGATCGACTCGTCGTGTAGGATTGTGGTTCCTTTCAAACCAGGATAATAGGGTCTATTGATCCGAGAGTTTAGTTTAATTGCGATTAATTATCTATTACGGTGCAACCTTTTATGCTTTGCGTAGATTCGAATCAGGAACTGTAATGAAGTACGGATCTACTGGAATTTTTAAATGAATAAATATATGAAAAATTAATGAAGTACCGAACATTCGCAGTCTGACATAATTCCAGAAAGGAAAAACATGAATCGTATTCAAGGGGCACTTACAGACTTCGTCATGACTCCAATAACGAGTACCTAACCCAGCAGATAGAGAAATAACAAAAACCAACAGAGTGACGAAATCAGACATTATTCTGGCCCTAATAAGACCAAATGGGCCCATATAAAAAACAAACGTTAAATTATGACACCTACGAGGGATGAACGACACACAAATATCTTTGGTAATCAATATTACTATTTTTATTTTTGAGGAAATACTGTCATTGGTTTCGAGCATTATAACGCGTATACAAAAAAAAGATCGAATGCGTTTGTCTTACACTGTACCCCAATGTTATATGCAATTTAACTAGATTTTATGACCAGTGGTAGCGTGTAACCTTTTGTGTGTATAGTTATTATGCAAAAGGACGTAGATCTATTGTAGATTACCGCTGTCAAGCAAAAGAATCATAGAGGAGGTTGGCGTTACCTTTTTCATACATACACATACACAAACCTGGTTTACCCCCCCCCCCCCCCCAACCACAGATGATTTTCGTGAGGATGACGGTTTGGTGAACCGAGTACGACAAAACTAAATTGTCATTTACAACATTTAGAGTGCAAGTATAAATGTCAACAGAAACTGACTGCACACAAAAAGGTCGTCCACTGTTAAGCAGGACAGTATTCCGCTATTAAAATCTGCCTGCGAAGGCGAGGCTTACGAATATCGCCAATATAAGCTGTTATACGAGATATTTTTATTTACGCCACGTTCGAGATATCAGTGTTCCTTGCAACTAAATGCCAAGATAAGCACATATGGTTACGTGACCCATTGTTGCTTGACTGATTTCATCATCAGAGTTAGTGAAAACAGAGTGGTCCTAGAAGAGGTGCACAGTTCTTATATTACTCCATACACAGATGTTAGAAAAAAATTCCAACAACTGCCCGTGCAGCAACGCTTGTATATGTACATTGGTGACTTTTTGAGTACGATAAAAGTAAAGAGATACATTTGGATTATAATTGATTCACCGCGTCCAAAGTGCGGCTTATGTCCGTGATACGGACAAGCTAATACCACAATCTAAACTATGTGCAACCTGCTAACATGGTAAGATATTCTAAAGTAAAGATTAGATTAGATTACGTTTACGAGGAGTTTAGAAAGCAGATAAATGCATAGATAAAGTCTGGCCTCTAGGTACTTCTATAGGATTTTTCCTATAGTGAGTTCGTCAAAAGGTTTTGGGCTATTTCGTTCCGTGTAGGCCTTACAGAAAAAACTGGCGTATTGTTGTCTGCGACGAGGACACAGGTGAACGAGCGCGTTCGTTTCTTCCAAGCCGACGGTATCTTCAAGTCAACGATCGTCTTTGAAACACAAGAAAACGTTCCGTTTGTCTGTTTAAAGTAGCATTTTTTTTCCAAATGTCTACAAAGGCTCTAAAAAGGTAGAAAATACGACGGATCTACGGATCCGGCATGTAACAGGCTTTTCCACTGTTTCTACTGATTTCTATGTTCTGTGTAGTTCGATTTAACCAAATCGGTTATATCAAGGATCGTGGTTTCTTGCACAAGCCATCGGCTGCCATCAAAAGTAGCCTTGGTTACACTGTCTCTCGTAGAAATAGACATGTCTTTATCTAAAATCGTGTTAAACGAGAGAGATGGAATTGAACGTCAAAAAGCATGAAAGCTAATGTAGAAACGAATGGATAACTATAAGAATTCACACGTTACCTTAGGTGTGCCATATCAAATACGAAATTATATCAAAAGTTCTTAATGTACAATACGAATAACGTAAGAGATAAAGTTCGACGATTTATCGTTGCTAAATAACTGCTCGAATCCTGTTATGATACACGACGTCATGAAACGGTAAGGACGGGTTTACTATTCAGCCTCATGTTCCATAAAATCGACTGCTGTTACTCAAAAAAAATAATGATGGTAGAGCACTACGTAACATTAATAATCGTCATTGAAACTTCCGATTAAGCTTACACACAGAAGGAATTAAGAAGAAGTTCTTTTTTCCGTCGAAACCGTTCCGAAGGATAGTAGTAGCTCTACGCTGAATTTCTATATACTGTTCCACGTTGGATAGAATAGTTTACATATATCACATAAATAATGTTACGTCCTCGCTTACTACAGTGTATTGCCTTTATCGCTAATCCTTTTACAGGACGAACAGCAATAGAGCTTGTCACATAGATACCGGAAGACACAGATCCCTATCAGGAAGCAACTGGCAAAACTGTTTATATCCACATCAATTAACGCAAACGCGAACTCTTGGATAACCGTTTGCCGGATGACGATGCATAGATAGACAAACACGGCTTCTACGGCGAAACGCTTGTTATGATTCGAGCCTGACTGACTTTCAGTAGTACGGTGCAAAATGGGCCAGCTTTACCATGCAGTTTGGCGATTCGAAACTGGGTTTAGACTGACACCCAGCAGCGAACAAGAGGCATGAAGAAACAATTGCGCACTTTGAGCCATTTCCTTTTGACAGGAGGGAGAATAAAGCCGAAGAATATTATCTTATCATATGAACGCTGAACTCTAAAGATCACTCAATATTTTGCTTGCTATGACATTCTCGGTAAGCATGTAAAGAATAGAAAGAAGCTCAAGGCATCTGTGACTGATCTTATTTGACTATCGGTAAGCGTTGCTGTAGATCCCTGGCCGCGACAAAGGAAGCATGAACTGATAAAAATCCAATCGCATAGAGCGCAAGACCCGCTGTTAATGTTAATGAGCAGTGGTGACTAAGTAACATACAATAGGATAGTAGAAGGTTGTTCTAAGACTGTTTGACAATGATTAGAACGTCGACCCTGCGTAACGAGACTGCATAATAAATAATGTCTCGCAGGTTTCGTTCAATGTTGCGAAAGATATGATATTTTCTCCGAGTTATCTTTTTAGGACTCAAATCAAGCGGGTATTGGTTTACTTCAAATATGTATCTGTTTCGTTTTTTACCTTTCGTCCCCTGGAAACATTAAAGGTTTACTTCCAGACTACGTATGAAAATACTTCACTATTTTATGCACATAGTCCTGTGTGCAATATGGCCAATAGCACATTATATTTAAATAACATCATGTAGATTCAGAAAACCAGTAAACTTACGATGTGCCAATGCATTAATTGGTAGTTCCTAGAGAGCAGCGTGTTAGATTTGTTTGTATGCGCTCTTTTTCCTCGCTAAACTGTGTTTTTAGGCTTTAACTTTTGCTGACTAATATATTTTTAACGATAATATTACACAAAGTGTTTGCGAGATTTTCGGGAACTCTTAGATGGAACCTATCGTGCAAAACCGGTGAGCTGTCCTTCAGTGATTTCTGTTGTTCGGACAGAGCTGCTACATGTTTACTGTTAGCGTAGTAAAACTGTCGCGTATATCACCGTTGTGTATCCAAGCTATCTATTTGTTGACATTACACGTTCAAGCAACCCTTCCCCAGACTTCACGTATCCTCAAGAGAATCTCCGTGCTCAAAACATACTTCTGGCAAAAGCCTTCGGCAAGAACATTGAATCCTTCATATCAACTATCAAAATGCCATTTTTCCTTCGTGATAGGAAGACGTCACAGCCGGGAATCACTGGACAACTATTTAGCAGTAAATCTCAACATCCTTTCTAGTATATAACACAAATATTTAGCTAAATACTCGAAAACGGACAAAGCGTTCATACTTCAATACAATGGCTGACATTTATTTATTTAATAATATAGAACTAACACATGCGTATTATTTTGTCGTCTCTGCAACCTCTGTGTCATAATCGTCGTCTGTAAGAATATTATTTTACTATAATTAATATCCTTATTTTATTATTACTATTATCCTTCTTCGTTCTGCTTCGTATTACCGCAAAGATACTTATTATTACACCTGCCTTCATGATACATTTTTATACCATGATAATATTGTTTAACAAAAAGCGAGCCAATTACGCGCGCTCATATGGGACCTTAAAGGCAGCCGATCTCTTTTTTCCGAGCACCATCAACATCATCGTCATCGTTGTTAGGACCAACTGCATCAGCGGTTCACATTAATGGTAATTTTTTCTCTCCTGGTGTTTCTGTTTGTCAGTTCACGTTCACGTTCACGTTCACGTTAATAGGCCCCAATACAGTATGTTTTTATAGTACTCCTTTGTTAGCATAGTGTATATATCATATTCATTCTATTTTTCACAGCCTTTCTTTTTTGGGTTTCTATGTGTGTTATATAATACACCACTAGATAGCTTTTTTGTTTCATTAGGCAAAATACAAATTTTGTTCTGCCGTTGTTGGCGACTATCGCTTTTAGACCGAGGTTACGAAAGCGTGACAGTGGATTTAACCAAGTCATTACGTTGTTCTAATGTCTATTCTTTTTTTTTTCTTTTTTTTTGTATGAAAGGTTTTCTGGCCATCTCTGGGTTTCTTCTCGCTCTCGCAATATTCACTTCCTGTTTTGAATACTTAGACGGCACATTTTGTGTGAATGCTTCGGGCCGCATCGGCTCCTTTGCTTCGTTGGATTATAAGTGCACCTTTGATAGCGCAAATCCGCAAACTTGCTTATGACGTTCGTTAACGTTCCCTAACAAGGAGACCTTGGAAAGGAAATTATCAAGCTAAAGTAATGCTTTCGTATAGTTTCTACGCGGGGCAGGCGACGAAGGAACACAGGAATTTAGATGGAGATCGGGTGGTGATGACACTCCTTCACTCGATGGGGGCACTATACGATTTCTGCTGTGAGACAGACATATTAGTACACTTCATTTCGATTTCTCTCAATTTTGATCGTACGTATATACCGCACGAAGCAATCAAAATATGTGTTCCAGAAACACTACGCTTCTAAGCTTTGAAAAAGCTAAAGGATCACTAAAAAAAAAAAGGGAGAAACATGAGAATCGAGTAATCATAGCTGCACAATAGTAACCAACAAATGAGGCAGTATTTTGCACCTTTTTCTGTCATCGTTTGCTCATAATGACGCTCAGCAGCCTTCGTCAATGCGTCAGCAATGACGAAGCGTGAACCGAATAAAGCAAACAACATAATTAGCAAAAAAATAACGGGCGCACGTACGAATAATGACCAGAGAAGCACAGACAGTTAATTAATAAACTGTGACGGCAAGAATTAATGTGGTCTTTAAACAGAAACCTTTAAAGCAGAAATATCATTTACTAATTGCTTTGTACAACTCCCTGAGACCAAGTGCGATGAATGATTTACGCTCTGCCTTGCGTTGATCGGACGAAACCAACTACGAGAAGATACCAAGGTATTTAGTTCTTCCCCTAATTTCTGGTCCATAAGCATCGCAACGGCAAAATCAATCACTTAGACCACGTGAGAGTGTTCCAGTTGTGTACATGACTGGTAAGTTTAATATCTACAACCCTTCTGTTTATACTTATCGAAACAGTATTGCACGGGAGTGTTTTTTTTTTCGCTATCGCTTATCGATATTCGTGTGAAGTCATGTGTTGTTTATGGACGATCGGAAGTAGTTCTATATCCGCCAGTCTGGTCGCTATAGTCGTGCGAATCGAAGCAACAGCTACTCGTTGGTTGCAGTTGGATTCAATAGGAACGTGGTTTTGTCTCTTAAGGGTTGGGCAGAGGGGTATTTATGTTAAGAAATAAAAGTGAGATTTTTCCTTTATATGGACAATAGTTCGACGATTTGTAGGTTGATAGGTTTGTTGATGGCGTTGATTTATATCGACTGTTTTGACAGCCATCTAGGGTCTAGTTAACTGTTTGATCTATATGTATGTATGTATGTATATATATATATCTATATATATATATATATATATATATGTATATATTTTCTTGGCTTGTATGTATGTATATATAAGCGAGTGGATGAGTAAATAAATTTCTGTCTGCATGTCGACATGAGGTGCATAACTCTGTGTTTGCAGTGGCTGTATCGAAGGTTTATTTATGACAATGGACATGTGCTACTGTTCGCCTATCTCCTCCGCCTTTTTCTCGGTGTTTCTCTGTTTTTCATTGTTTGGTATCTGACAAGAAAAATATACGCAACACAGGCTGCTGGTGTTGTTGTTACTATTACTATTATAATTATTATTGATTTTTCTTTTTGATCAATTAATACACAATTAACAAACATATAATAAAGTGTACCCCCGGTCGCCAGCTGCCTCGGATCTTGAGTTGCTGATTGGCATTGCGCTACGGCGAAGTAACATGGGACAAGAGAGGTACTATAAACATCATTGCCATGAATATCAGAATTGGTTATATGGCACTCACCACTATATGTTCTGCACTTTATCATATAGAGTTGATTCAAGCTGAAGTCTACAACGGCTCAACAAACAACATAGGAAGACTTTGGCTATAGGGGTGGTTGAGGTGACTTCCTCGAATGGCCAATTGGTCTGTGTGAGAAATTGAGGGCAAGTATGGCGCACAGCGTACTTTTGGGAAGTGTCCCGAAAGCGAGATATGATACACCATGGCTCATCTATCTTATCGACGTCATCCAAATAGAAAGACATATCGTTCTCTACTTTGAAATAAATTCTACTTTTTCCTAGCTGATATTCTAAAATCAGTCATTTCAATTTACATCGGGTCGTTTTCACCACTCCCCGTCGCTCATCCACTACTTCACAACCGTACCTAACCCATATTAGCCATAACTCCTTTCAATTTTTCACTTTTTCTTTTTCTTTTTTTTTTTTTCTCTTCTCTTAACTAATCGCTTGAGTTCTATTCGAAGGTGTTCAGCTGTATCCACAATTGGTGTAAAGTCTTTTTGCCATTTTATTACTTCTCATTTCCATAGTTTTATAGTTTCTATACAGTTTATTCATTCGCTTTTTCGTTGCCTCTTATATATATATGCAATGTATATATGTATACGCGTGACAAAGTCGTAGTAACAAAAATACAAAATCATCAAGATGATAAGTCAACTTAGCCGTAATGGCCTCAGCAACAACCGAAAGTCTCTCCCTCTTTTGCGTTTTCTAGTCCACGTCTTTCGTACCGAGTCACCTTCTTGTTCCACGATGCCCCAACTTGCCTTGCTTTTTGTTACCCATTGTTTTATAACGTCGTCTTATACGTATCGTGCGCGCTGGCTTTCTTTGTTTCGTTGGGCAAACCGAGCTGTTCGGTTCATCAGCATCCATTGCACCCGTTTGCCATCTTGTTTTTTCAGTTCGAAATACTATCTCTCGTTAATAGTCAATTCATGTTTTCCCGTTTCGTTCTCACGAGACTCCGGTGATCGGCTGATGTTCTCTGTATTTCTGCTTATAGGTCGTTGTATTGGTTATGACAGAACAATCGACGCAATGCTCAATATATTGGTCACTGAATCAACAAAGAAAGTAAATTACAACAACAATTGTCTTTCTTTGCTTTTGTCATTCGTCGACGCCTTGTTGGTGTCATTGA